TGTATTATATTCATGATTTATTTTAATTTATACAAATATTATTTCTATGTAGGTTGTAAGTGAGTCAAGTTTACTCTAGAATCAGTTTCTAACTCGGCTCAATTAATACACCTTGAGTTGGACTCGATGAACTAATAAATAGGGCTTGAGCCAATATCGGCTCGGCTCATTAGCTTGTATGTCGACTTTTTAAAAAAGATTTTGATATAAAATATACTTAAAATATATCAATATTATAGAGTTGAAGTATAAAATTATAAACTTCATTATACATGTGATTTTTCATTATTTCACTTCTATTTTTTTTTTAATATCGGCTCGGCTCATTAGCTTGTATGTCGACTTTTTAAAAAAGATTTTGATATAAAATATACTTAAAATATATCAATATTATAGAGTTGAAGTATAAAATTATAAACTTCATTATACATGTGATTTTTCATTATTTCACTTCTATTTTTTTTTTTAATTTTTTACCATTTATTATAATAATTTCATGAATTATAATGACTTTATCTCTTTCATTAAAAATGAGACAGCTCAAATTCTGAGAATTAAGATTGAGCTTGAGTATGAACAAGATCAATTAACAAAAGTAAAGCTCAAGCTAAGTCAGGGGTGACTAGAACTTGGCTTGACTTGTTTACACCCGTTCTTTTAAGATTAGAATTTGTGATTTTATATTATAATAAAAATAAAATAATAAATTACAAGCCCAAGCTAACTTTTAATTGAATATAATTAAAAAACGAAAAAAAAATTATTTTAAACATATTATATCTGAGTAAAATTTTCTCAAAAAAAGCTTAAAAAAATCAAATAAGAGGCTATTTTGAGTAGTGATAGTGATCTTAATACTACAATAAAGCTTTGGTCTTCTTTTAAAGATAGGCCCAATTTCTAGTTGAATATATGAACATTTTGATACATGTTTAAGATTCATCATCTTCATGATGAATCCCTAATCTTCACTCAAAAAGAACTTTTTCCTTCGTTAGATGGATTAGATATGGAGAGAGGTCTCCAAGACCTATAGTCCATATAATGTTTGCCCTTGTCTTTTTTAAGAAAAATGGTAATTTTCCTCACTAGATAGATTGATTCAAGACAATGATCACAATTTGTTTCTCTTTAGGAAATACAATTATTTGAAAAAAAAATGGTTGTCCCACAAAATGAAGATTGAGGTAGGTGAATGATGTTGATGGCTAGTAGTTATCTTAGTCATTCACCTTATAGAGGAGAAATGATAATCATTTTGTTTCTCTCTCTCTCTCTCTCTCCTCTCTCTCTCTCTCTCTCTCTCTCTCTTATTATATATATTATATAATATAG